AAGTTATTTAAAAAAAAGAAGAAGAAAAAATGTGACCGCAGCCTAATCATTTCTTGGCAACATTGGCACGTCGAACCACGACGATCGGGAGGCACATTCAATTAGATCACTTTGCCAATGAAGCACGGTCTCGAGCGATTCTTCTTGTCCCAGTTTCGCGAAAAATCGGGCGCCGCGCGACGCACACTCAACACCATCTCATTCTCGATTATGCTAATTCCCCCTTCGATTATCTCCGTAGAAAAAAGAACGCCGTCCCTGCGCGCGCCAAACTTCATCCGTTCCGTCGAGAAATCGATACGGGAGTCACGGGAACGAAACGATGATCGAACATATAGAAAACGAAAAGCTCGAATCGCCGGATTCTGTTCTGTTCTTTTTTTGTTTTCGAACGGGAACGCTTCCGCGGGACACAACGAACAACGCTGATATCGATCTCTTATCAGTTACCTATGGCCTAGACAGTTTCACGTTCGCTTAGCTTAACGCCGCCGATGCCTCGTGTCGAAGCACCATCGCGAATATTTTCCATTCCTCGCAGGCGATTCTATTCTCTTCGTTCCGTCCGGTTCGCCATAAAAATAATTGGTGTCCCGAAAACGCGATCGTTCGAACGGAGAGATTCCTCGCGCGATTTCAAGCAACTTTCTCCTTTGCGGGAATCTTCTGCGAGGCTCCGTTTACGAGTTATTAACGAAAAACGCGGGCCAATCGCAGCGCGGCTGACCGCCACGCCCTTCGCGTTCGCGGCCAGTGCCGCGCGGCGCTCGCTGTTGCGCCGCCCACTCGACGTTTTTCGCCGATAACTCGTGAACGGAGGCTCGGAAAAAGTTCTCGCAAAGGAAAAAGTTGTTCCAAATCGTCTCGGGAATCTCCCTGTCGGCTCGCGATATTTTTCGGGCACTCGCGTATCGCAGTTTCTTCGCTCGGATAAGAGGGGATACTCGGTGCGAATAGATTCATCGTTTTACAATTCTGTCGACGACGGCTGGAGCAAACTGATTCCCGCCCCTTGCCCCGAACTGCTTCAATTTTCTCGCGTTCTCTGTCACGTTTTCTCACAACATAGCTCGCCGATCTGTCACAATTGTCGAAGAACGCCAGGATTTGATATGCTCAGTTTTGGATCAGTGTTGTTTGTTCTTTCGACGACTCGTAAATTCAAACGGCGGTCGTCGGACCGTCGATCTTCATGCAAAATAAAAATCGTCTGCATTAATTTGTAAAAACTACTTAGCCGATCGGGTGGATTCGACGAACGCGGATATGAGTGTTATTAGAAAAATGACACAGTCTCGAGTAACGCTTTCAAAAACGATCGATCCGGTCGTCGCGCGAACGACAGCTCGCTACGGGAAACTAGAATGAATTTGCTCCGCCAGGTTGCTGTTTTATAAAACTTTACAGCGCGCGGCTCGCTGCACCGTTCGAACGCGTGCACCTCTTCGGGATCTCCGCCACGACGGAGAAAAGATGCACGCCGTCCAAACGAACGCGAATTTATTTGCGGAAGCTTCGTGCGCCGTGCGAACTACCTGCTTTATCCATGGGAACCGCGCTCCACGTGGTCGCTTCGCAGCGAGTCGGCAGAGGCCGCGCGGAATTCTAGATTAATTTGCGTCGCGGCGAATAGCGCATAGTTTCGGAGCGCTCGAAGGATCGTCGCGGCTTTAACAACGTCGAATCGCGGCTAGCCTAATCGTTCGACGGTGTCTACTGGGCCTCCCAAAATTATTGCGAGAGCTGAGAGGTTCCTGAGGCCATTTCAAGCAACTTTTTCCTCAGCGAAAATGTTCTGCGAGGCTTCGTTTTCGAATTATCAACGAAAAACCGTGGCTAATGAGAGGTCGCGTGCGGCTGACGCCCCGCCCATGCGACCACCGCCGCTGCGTCACGCAGCCGGCGCGACGCGGCATTGGCCACGAGGTCGGAGCGCCGGCCGCCCACGCTCTCCGATTGGTCCGCGTTTTTCGTTAATAACTCGTAAACGAAGCCTCGCAGAATATTTTCGCTAAGGAAAAAGTTACTCGAAATTACCTCAGGAACCTCTCGTTTCTCGCTTGTACGATAATTTTGGGCCACCGTGTATAGAGGCGCGGGAACGTGCATCGGTGAATTTTGTCGTTCGCTGGCACTCGATATAACCTCGACCGCCACGGATTCGGAACGGTGCGTATAAAAACGTGCGGCCGGTCGAATTTGCGAATTGACGAATCTACCTGGCATCAACGGGTACATTGGACGTAACGGTTACCACCTACACTCTACGCAAAGCCGGTCGACTGAAACAGCGAAACTGTTACGGAATTGGGGACAACGAATTCTCGCGAAACTGTTCTCATAAGGTGTCAAAAACTGAGACGCATGTTTCTTTCGGCTACTTGCACGTGCTCGGAACTGTCGACGCTTGTCACGGAAATAATCAAATAAGGATTCAAAATAAATTAAATAAGAAAACAAAAAAGTAAATAAAAAAAAACAAAATAAATGTCTGATAAAATAAGGCGTAAGTTATTTATGACTCGTCTAAATATATCAGAAAGCAGTTCTGAAAGAAACACGACACCCTGTATGATATAGAATAAAATATTTAAATTATATTATTTATATATTTCTTATTTATATTATAATATAAATGTATATAATATATATTCATATATTATTAAATAGTGATATTATAATAATAATACAATAATAATATAAATAAAATAATATAATATATATCATTGTGTAATATTAATCCCCGATTGTTTATGCAAAATAAAAATCATGTGCATTAATTGCAAGACCCAAGAGTACCGTAAACATTTACTTCCTTTTTTAACAACTTTAACAAGTGGCAAATGATAATAATAATATATTATAGAAATTCTTTTATGATGCTTCGACTATTCCGTTTCAAACGTATCCACTTTTGCCATAAACGCACGATTTTTACCATTAATCTCCGAGCGCGTACAGGACCACCAGCGCCGACAGAGTCGCGATTACTCGCGTCCTTCCCGTCCGCAGAGTAACAGAAGAATCAGCGCGACGTTTGCGTGCGAAGCACGGCTCGGCCAGGCGCGCGGAGCGCCGCGCGTCGAACAACGGCCGTCGCGGAGAATTTAACCGTCGCCCTTTTATTAGAAACATCTAAAAATACTACGTTTTGTTTGGTTTCTCCCATGCGATATAAAAAGATCTCGAGCTCGAAGCTGCTTCCGGCACGCTTAATATACAAGCCGCAGCCCCTGTCGTATAGGTTTATGTACAATTCGATTGTTTCTCGTCGCTGCGCTTTCGTGTCCCAGCATAAGCCGTTTCAACGGCGCCCACGCGTGCCGCTCCGGCGCGGCGGACGCGCCGCGCGCGAGCCCGAGCCCCACGCAAACCTACGGACAAATGAAACCCTATCGCGGCTCCCCGTTGTTTCACTGTAACAACTTCTACAATTTTATACAATCTCTCTCGCGGCTACAATATTGTATCTTTACGGAGGAAAATTTCACGTTACCACCGTCCCGTGATTTACGGTCGCGTGCGAGATCAATTAAGCGGGTCCTCTCGGGGGGAATGGAAGGCATTTTTTTAACGTCCTTTCTTTCTTTCTCTTTCCTTTTTGCTTTAGTACTTTCTCTCTCTCTCTCTCTCTCTCTCTCTTTCACTTTCTTTGACTTTCTTATTCCATTCTCTCTCTCTCTCTCTCTCTCTCTCTCTCTCTTTCACTTTCTTTGACTTTCTTATTCCATTCTCTCTCTCTCTCTCTCTCTCTCTCTCTCTCTTTCACTTTCTTTGACTTTCTTATTCCATTCTCTCTCTCTCTCTCTCTCTCTCTCTCTCTCTTTCACTTTCTTTGACTTTCTTATTCCATTCTCTCTCTCTCTCTCTCTCTCTCTCTCTCTCTTTCACTTTCTTTGACTTTCTTATTCCATTCTCTCTCTCTCTCTCTCTCTCTCTCTCTCTCTTTCACTTTCTTTGACTTTCTTATTCCATTCTCTCTCTCTCTCTCTCTCTCTCTCTCTCTCTTTCACTTTCTTTGACTTTCTTATTCCATTCTCTCTCTCTCTCTCTCTCTCTCTCTCTCTCTTTCACTTTCTTTGACTTTCTTATTCCATTCTCTCTCTCTCTCTCTCTCTCTCTCTCTCTCTTTCTCTTTCTTTGACTTTCTTATTCCATTCTCTCTCTCTCTCTCTCTCTCTCTCTCTCTCTATCTTTCTCTCTTTCACTTTTATTGACTTTCTTATTCTATTCTCTATTTTCCTCTCTCTCTCTCTCTCTCTCTCTCTCTCTCACTTTCTTCGATTTCAATTTTTCACTCTCTCTCTCTCTCTCACTCTCTCTCACTTCATTCGATTGCCTTTTTCCACTCTCTCTCTCTCTC